AGAGACATATATAAATAAAATATACGAAGGGGATAAATAGAATAAATAGGAATAAAAATAAAAATACAAGTGAATTGCACATTTCAAGTATTGAGGTCTATTGCACCGTTGACTATTAACAAAAGTATTGCACAAAAGGTAATGCACAGTGAAGTGAAGAGGCACTACAGCTTAGTTGTTCCCCCCCTCCTTTGTCCTCCTGTTTCCCCTCCCTCTCCCCTCCAGAGAGGAGTTAAACAGTTTGATGGCGTGTGGGACAAAGGAGTTTTTAAGTCTGTTAGTTCTTGTCTATTATAAACACCCAGATAGAGATGGATATCTTTCTTAGCAGCACCTTTGTTCTTGGCACACTTCAGCAACCCAAGTTTCTTGTTAATGAGGGAAAACCAACTAGAAAAGTAAAAAAAAATGTTATTACAGTTTCAAAAGCAAAAACATCAACATTTATATATGTAACCATGTCAAAATCAGAACATGTACACATTAAATATAAATGTGTGTACAATTAAGACAAACATCATAAACACATCTCTAAATAAAATGAGAATTTGCTTCTCCATTTAAAAATGTGTTTTTGATGAATCCTGTATATTTCTATTGATTCGTTCTGTCTGACAGATAGAATCTGGTTACTGTCACATTTACTGCAGCTGAAATATAACAATTAAACAATTATAACCACGAAAGAGCTGAGAGTAGTCTATAAAATCTTTATTATTTAAAAATAACTTGCAAAAACATAAAATACCGTATGTTGGATAGTTTGGTTTATGTGTTTTTACATATTATAATTTGGGCCAATGTTAGTAAATGAGATGTATTTTTCAGTACTTTTCTTTTTATACTTTTAATAATCAAGGTTAAAATGAATTAAAAAAAAAACCCACCAACAACATTCCAGTGTTTAAAAACACAGTCTAAAGTTAGTGGGTTACACTTAGTTCACTGGATATATATATTATCTGCATATGAAAGCGTTTCTAAAAGCAGAAGTAATACTGAGGAGGTTTTTGTCACAGCCTGAATCACTGTGATACGTACGCAGAAGCAGAGTCATCATATGTCTGACAGTAATACACTGCAGAGTCTCCTGTCTCTGCTCGCTTGATAATGAACTGGTAATCAATGTTTGATGAGGATTTAGAGTTGAATCTGTCTGAGGAGAATCCTGTTCCAAAGCTGAGTGAGCTGCTAGAATGAAGAAAACTTAGAACATACTGAGGAGCCTCTCCAGGAACATGTTTATACCATCTAACAGAATTCCCATAATATCTCTCTATGTTGCAGTTGAGAACAACTTCTTGACCTGGAGAAACTGTGTGGACAGCAGGTGTTTGGGTCAACACGATCACTGCATCAACATCTGCCAGGAAACACACACAAAAACATGAATGAAAAGTTTACCTCCAAAAATATACACCCTAAAACAGAAGATCTTACATGTTAGAGCAGTGATGAGAGTGCACAGGATCCACAGCATGTTGTCAGTGTGAGGTGTAAATGATCTTTACTGTTCAGCTGAGATGTGAGTGGGATTGTAGTGAGAAGTGAAGCGATACTGACACTTAAAGACACAGAGGAGAGGCAAACCAAAGGAGGAGGAGATTCAACACAATGATTTTCATTCATAGAATAAAAAATCATTTATAATGCAAATAACATCAATTAAATGTTTCTGGCTCATGTTCAACCGACACACTTATGGCTGTCATGACATATTGCTCATGAAACTATTGTTGTAAAGGGAATAAATATTATGTAACTGATTATTGACAGTTTTAGGTGTTAACACCAATCTCTTTCTAGCTGAAATGTGAGCAGGACTTATGTGAAAAGAATAAACAGTAACGTTTATAAGAACATGAGGTAGAACAAGTCTCAACAAATTCAGAACAGTTGTAGTTTAAATGCAAATGCCCTTATCCTCACACATCACACGTTTTCTTCTCGTCTTATATTTATTTCTGCCTGATGTATAGTTATCACTATTTAAGAGCTGAGACTGGTGTTTACTAAATTTCTATTACTTATAGATAACTGTTAGTTATATACAGTATTAGTCCACTTCTGACATGTTTTGGCTGAATAATATCTCTATATTCCTCTGCTTGCTTTATTCACATTTTCAATGATGAATATTAAAATTAATTAAAAAAAACAAAACAAAACAAATAACACAGTATTTGAAGGTGGTGGGATTTCAGTGTGTTTCTCGGATGTGTCTTTTTTTCAGCATGTGAAAGAGCATCAAAAAGCAGAAGTATCTGTGAGGAGGTTTTTGTCACAGTGTAAATCACTGTGATACCCCACTGTTAGCAGAGCCGTCCCATGTCTGACAGTAATAGACTGCAGAGTCTCCCTCCTCCACATTCTTGATGATCAAACGATAATCTGTTGTTGACTGATGAGTGGATGTGAATTTTGGAGCAGAGAACCCAGAGCCATAGTATGGAGAACTATAGCTATGATGAAAATACAGCACATGCTGAGGACTTCCTCCTGGAATCTGTTTATGCCAGGCAGCAACATAGTTAGTAACAGTCCCCAGGTTACAGTCCATGGTGGCTGTCTCTCCTTTCCTCACTGATAGAACAGGAGGTTTCTGCGTCAGCACCGTCACACCACTCACACCTGCAAACAACAAGAAGACATGCAGTCAAGAAAGACACACTTACATTTAACTGTAACATGAGGTCTATTCTTCAGTATATTTTAGACTCTTTACATGTTAGAGCAGTGATGAGAGCACAGAGAGTCACCAGCATGTTGTCTGAGTGGGCTGAGAACTGAGTGGAGAGGCGATGGTGGAAGAGCTATTTAATACAACTAACAGGAGGAGGAGCACTGGAGGTTTTCTTTTTTCCGCTTGCCTGTGTTATTAATATTAATAACAATAATAATATGTCTTGTATATATAGGTTTTTTTATATTATTTTGGAATGGTTAATAGCCATTCTTTTTCCATGGTTGGTGATATTTTATACTTTTAACTTGTATTGTATTTATAAACTATAATTAGATTAACATATTCTGAAGCAACATAAAGTTTACAATTTCAGCTTTAGCTCTGTAGAAAATCATTTTCACAGCAAGTTATTCTCTCACATGTCAAACTTTGCACAACAGTGGGATCATCTAATTAAACAACTAAATATCTGTAAATAAGATGGGCCTGTTTAAAATGTGATGTATAAAAACAGTTTTTTAAAAACAGAAACAGTTTGCAGCTTGAAATTCCCACCCTGTGAGAAACCATTAAGATTCAGCAGCAAAATAAAAATTATATAATTATGTCAAAATTTGTCACAGCAGTTGCATCATGATAGCTGACGGAGATGCTATCTCCTTCATTGTTACGAACAAACAGTTTAATCAAAATTAAAACTTGCTAAATAAAAAGTAATAAATAAAAAAAATTCTGATTGGTTATATTTAAATTTGGCTATTTTAAATTATATTTCAAAGTGTCATGTTTAGGCTGTGTGCAGGCCGGTTCGCCGGTTCGATCCCTGGGCTCTCTGTCCTGGTCGTTGTGTCCTTGGGCAAGACACTTTACCCTACCGCCTACTGGTGTTGGCCAGAGGAGCCGATGGCGCGATATGGCAGCCTCGCTTCTGTCAGTCTGCCCCAGGGCAGCTGTGGCTACAACCGTAGCTTCCCTCCACCAGTGTGTGAATGTGAGAGTGAATGAATAGTGGTATTGTAAAGCGCTTTGGGTGTCTTGAAAAGCGCTATATAAATCCAATCCATTATTATTATTATTATTATAAAAACTGAAGGCTAGCTAAACTGGGCTGGCCAGCGGGCAGGTGGACAGACAGCATGGGAGAATGGAGTTTGCGACACAGACCAAAGAAAACACAGGGCTTAATACAGAGCTGGAGCCATCAGGGAATGGGAGACAGGAGGGAAACACAGCTGGGACAAATCAGGGCTAACAAGACAAGGGAAGCAAAACCAGATACATTAACATGCGACATGGACTTTCAAAGTAAAACAGAAACATAACAAAGACAAGTGGACTTGACAAGGGGATACAGCTGACAGGGGAGACAGAGCAACTATTGAACACAGAGACATAAACCATGAGGCAGAGAACTCCAACAAAGAAACCAAAAGACTAGAAATGATAAACAAAATCAAAATCAAAGCTCAATAGTAATGCAAAACTCAAAACTCCTGGTCGATGACCCAGGTACCCTAACACAAAGTTCCTCAACAAGTGATATTAAGTGCAAAATTTCAGCTTCAGCTCTCTGTATTTCAAGATTTCTCATGAGGTTATGAATGAGACCTGAGGACTAAGACCTGCAGGTGCATGCTGGGCAGGAAGAGAACAAAAGCTTGGAACAAGTGAAAAGATCTGCCAATGGAACGAGTGTAAATTCTCTAGTTTCAAGATGCGCTGTCTAAAAAGGTGTTCCTATTCCTTACAGAAATATTTAAACCTCATTTCTCATTTGTGGGATAATAAAGGTTTATTCTATTCTATTCTATCTCAAAACTAAACAAAAAACTAAACATTTTAATGAATTGGTCTTCAGGCTGGGGAAATGATCATTTATCACAGAGATGAGGTGACTGACAGACTATTCATGTTTTGACAAATATAAAATAGTTACGTTGTCTTTTGCACAGTTGAGTGTGAGTTATGAAAAATGCCCCAACTGTTTTGAGCAAAGCATGTAGACTGGTCAGAATGACCTTTCTGCTGTGAGAATTGCACCAAATTGATTGAGAGAAATTGAATTTTGATTTATCTGATAATGTGTGAATGTGTTTCATTGTGTTCCTTTTTATACTTTTAACTTAAGAAGAAAAAACTAGCAATCCAGTATTTAAAAACACATTATCTGAAGGTGGTGCGTTTTTATTTACGTGCGCTCAGAATAGTGGCACAAAAATAACACCTGAAAGCTGAAAGATGAGAGGTGCTGTAGTGAGAAGAGAAGAGATACTGATGCTTATAAAGACACAGAGGAGCAGAAGTAAAAGAGGAAGAGATTCAGCAAAACAGCTTTTATTTATAGAAACTAAATTAAGTGATATAAATTATTGATAATTTCATACAGTGAACATTGTCTTTATGTGAGCATTATTGTTTTAATCTCAGTGATTTCACATCTTTGAATTTACTCTTCAAAAAAAAAAGTACTTAATCAGTATATCTGGTTTATATTCATCTGTCATAACAAATGAGATCATAACTCTGAGTTTGATGCAGTCTTGTTTTATTTTGACTGAATTTTAGTTTAGCACGAGTTAGTGAAATTGCTGAACTGTAATGCCAAATGAATTTGTGTAGTCTCGTTTTTTTCAATTTTGTCTTACTGTGGCTTGAAATCATATTCACAATTAGCATGTTTTGCACCTGGATGACTGAGAACCTTCACAGTTTTTGATCAGACATATGCTACAGTACAATAATAATAAAAGCTGATGATGTGAGGCTTTGTGTGTGAATAATGTGTGTGTATTCTGGTGCTTTCTTTGTTTAAAGTGAAAATTTAAATGAAAATAAAAATACAATCAATAAAAATAACAGAACAATGTTTAAAAACTAATTGTGTGAGTCTGGACCAAAAAAAGCATAAGTTGCTAGCTTTGAGTTGCTAGATATTAGATATTATATTATTAGATATTAGTCATATTTCAATCACTCTGTCTTTATAGGGTGGTGAAAAATTTACATTCATTCATCCCAGAATTAAAGTGACTGACTTACTATTCGTGTTTGGCGAATGTGAAAAGGTTGTTGTTGTTGTTTTTTTAATTGTTGGGGTGTCCTGTGCACAGGTCTGTGTCATAAAAAATGCCCTAACTGTTTGTCAGAACTGCATAATGAGTGTTATGATGATTCTGCTTTGAGAAATTTGCAAACATTGACAGAGAAAAACTACAAAATATTATCTGCATAATGTGTTGCAGATAATGTAAACCCACCACTTTATCTTGGTGGGTTTATACTGAGTTTGCTTGATCTCTCAGGATCAGGTTGTTCACATCAGGATGTGGAAGAGTGTCAAAAAGAAGATGAAGAGAAATAAAAAAGGAAGAAAGAATACCAAACGATGGGAGGGGGTATCACTGTCCCTAAATAACATGATTGAAATATGCATTGGGTAGCTTTTGTCTGCTGCTTCTTTCCTGTCTGTCTTTTGGATGTGTTTCTGTTTGTGCTTTAAGGCTCTACACCCCGGGGTTGCTTCGCTTTTGTTTGTGTTGATTGCTATGTGTTATTTTTGCTGTAAATGCACTGTTCTGCCGTTCATATGACAATGTTTAATAAACTCTGTTCTAAGTCTGTTCTGCTCTTTTCCAGAGAATCAGCATGAGTGATTTGATTTTAATTGGATTCAAAAGCTTCAAAATTTGTTACCTGACAAAACCTTTTTCTCCTGTTTAGGTTAGGGAGACAGGTAAGAGGCCAGTATTTTCTTTTGGGTTTCTCGTTATAGGTAGGTCAGTTCTGTTTCATTTCTAGAGTGTTTTGCTTGTTGTTTTGACCATGCCCATCTTGATGCTTGCTACCTTTTGAAATTAACAAAATATCTGTTTGTTGTGAAAGCGCAACCCTGTGGCAGCATTGGTCTTTCCTTGGGAGATTAGAGCGGGGGCATTATCTTTCCTTTTTTATGTGTTTTGGGGTGTAACACATTTCATTTCATAACTGGACTCTATTTAGTGTTCCATAACAGTAAATAAAGTTATGTTTAGGCAAAAATCAAACAGGATTCAGCTAACTGTCTCTGAATGATCAAATGGTAATAACTAAAACATTTCCACTAAACAGCAGTTCCATTTTATTTTACAGAGAGCTGATACTTCATTTACATGAGGTTATAAGACCTGCAGGTGCATCATGGACATGAAAAAACAGAAGAGCAGACAGGTTATGCTTCACTGAGTGTGAAGATTCATTTGCAACATTTTAAACCAGTGACACTTGCCCTCTCTGTTACTCAGGAAGAATTATTAAATGATGCTCTCTAGTGTTCAAATATTACATAGCATGTATGTCAGAAAATATTTATGTTTTAACTATGGGAAGAAGATATTTTAAAAAGTGGTGTGCTTATGAGTGTTTTTTTTCCTCGGTGTGCCCCTCTCCAAAATTTAACAGTTCATTTTAATAACCTTAAACTTATGTTATTTATAATACAGTGACACATTTTCCCATTTACTCACAAGAAAACACATTTTTTAAATCAATGCTTTTATTAATTTAATGCAAAACACAAATTCCTGAAAATACTTGTCAAAAACCAGCAAATGAATACATGATTTAAACCTTTTGCTTTATTCTGATTTCTAACACATAAAGACTGTAATGAGCAAACAGCACAAGCGGTAAAGAAGCAGATTTTAAATGCACATTCTGGTCCTCGACTATTCAGTGGGACATTCTGACTTCTTGATGTTTTTCTCTGAAGTCTGTGAGCCCAAAGACACTTTACATGTATAAACCTTATCCATGTTCCAGTCTGATGTCTGGATGGTCAGAGAGCTGCTGATCTGGTAAGTCTGGTCTGGTCTCTGAACAGCAGTGCTAGTAGAGATCCCACTGCTCACTGGACTCCCAGCAGCCAACCAGCTCACATCTGCAAAAGGCACAGACTGACTGGACAGACAGACCAGAGAAGCTGTGTCGGACCGGAGCTCAGCACTGGACGGAGGGAAGACTGTCAGGACAGGAGGAGGGAGGCTGGAGCCTGAAAATACATGAAGGATGTTCAGGAAATTGAAAAATCAAAGGACATGAAATGAAATAATGAAAACAGAAGAAATCAAGACATCAATAAGAGTCAATATGGAATAAACATAATATTTGTTATGAAATTAGAAGAAAACAATACTAATGTGATTTGGAAAAATATACAGACATAACAACTCAACATATCAATTGATTTTCTTTTTAAGTTTTCCTAAAATAAAATATGACTAGTTACTCTTTAACTTTCCATGTAAGATGTTTTTGATTTAATTCTGGAGGTTTCTGCATAACATGTCAGTTACTGTGAGCAATTTTCTTTCATTAAAAAAAAAACTGTACAGCCCGTTTCTAATCATTTAAAATTAATTTTTAACTTTAGTAACACTGTTAACTACTACTGAAGAAAAAGAAAACAATCTTATATATGTTTTTGAAATGCCAACCCCAATATTAAATAAAAACACTATGAGAATAATAAGAACGGATGATATCATATTTCACATAATGTTTAGTGAACAACATTTATATAAAAATATACAAATTTGGTTTGACACCTTTTCAATTTTTTTTAAATTTTTTAAAGAATTCATGTCTCCTGCACATACAACAACCTCAAACTATTTCATGTTGTACAAAATCATAAAAATGATGCAGAACAAGAAACATATTGAATTAAGTAGTCATCAGCAGACTTTTGCAAAATCTCTCTTGTTTTATGATCATTTAAAAAGTACTTACTTGTCACAATCAGCTTGGTGCCTTGTCCGAATACCACAGTGATTCAGTTTGTATACATGGCTGTACAAAAACCTCCTGACTGTCACTGATGAGGGGAGAGGAACTGAAACATCCTGTAGAGACTAACTTTCACTGTCAACATCTCATTCACTTCATCTGTTTGTACTTTATAACTGTGTCTCTGTGTGTAGTCGTGTTTTTTTCTTCTTGTCACTTGTTTTGTGTAAGACTTAATTAAGTACTCATTATTCATCTGAATTAAACAGAGATTCACTGTCTCTCAATGAGATTTTGTTTAGTCTGGTTCACTATGACGGAGCATTTTTGGGAGTCTTCCCATGTCTGACAGGAACTCACTGCAGAGTCCCCTGTCTCTGCATGATTGATAAAAGACAGGTTAAAGGTTAAAAGGGATAAAAAAATAAAAAAAAAGAACAATCCAATGTTCAATATGACATTATCTGAAGTAGGGCTGAGCCATATACCGTTCACGATAATACCGGTATTGTCACGGTCTGGCTGGCAGACCGTGTGGATGTGTGGGGAAGGAGGACCCAGGCGCGGTGCTCTGTGTATAAACAGTGCGTTTATTTACAGTGATGGAAATAATAACAGTAAATACCCGTGCTCTCCCTGACTCCCGTGTCGTGTCTCTCCGTGAATAGTCCGTGTCTCAGTGCTCTCCGCTCCCGTGTCTCAGCACCCCTCGTGCTGGCTGCTGTCTGGCGCTCCACACTTCTCCTGGGGACACAATAGACGCAGCCGTCAGGACACATATAACCGTGGGCATACACACACTAACTCAGTTCAGCTGGATGACTAACGTGGAGTCTCATGGAATGATCCCGCGTCAGTAGGAGCTCCAAGACTCTCCTAAGTAGCTCCCCCGACGAGCCCTGATCAGCGGCAGGTGTGTGCAGACCGTCAGCAGGGCCACACCCACCAGGCCTGAAGGCGCCCACCGATATACATACACACGCAAACAGGGAGAAGGACAGCAATGCCAAATATACATACAACAATAATAATAATAATAATAATAATAATAATAATAATAATAATAATAATAATAATATAATTCATAACTGCTCAGGGATCCTGGGTCGCTCAGACCCAGGGCCCTGACAGGTATAATGTTGGGCAACGACAAGAAAATGAAATATGAAATATCGCGATAGAATATGGGTAAAACGCGCATGCGCAGTGCCTTTGTTTTCATACGCACATGGCGAAAAAGGGACGACAGTGACGGCGAATGAGAAGGGCGAAAGTGGATCGTTAAATGAAACGGATGAACCAGAACTGGTTTGTAAAAATGCAACTTCAGTGGTGTGGCACTGGTTAAGCTTTCATCCGTCAGATACACAACAAAGCACTATTTTTGGTAGTGCATGCTAGCGGGCCGTCGTTATTACCGTGTCTTTTGGAAAATACGGCACACTTAAAATCAGTCCTTTGATTTTTCTGAAAATCGACAGTACCCCTTATAATCCCGTGTGCCTTATGTTTGAATTCTAGTTGTGTTTACTGACCTCGAAACAATTTTATGTGGTACACGGCGCTCGAAAATCTGTCAAATGTTTCAAGATGACTTTGCTAAGCTACGAAGCCGCACCGCTTGATGGATTGTCAGAGCATTACGGCTATCGTAAGCAGGAGCCTCGCGGAGTGATACGTACGGTTTAACTTTTTTTAAGTTTTGTGGATATTATACATGGTTATACTGAGGATATGTTGGCCAATTTCCACTGGAAATGCCTTTTGGTTAAACTGTCAGCAGGAAATTTGCATTTGCACTGTTACAATTTTATATAACTTTAATGCAAAAAACAGCTGCTTTTTTAAGTGGAATACATTGATGGGTTTTTTTTTTTTGCACTAATAAAATTGTGGAGTTGTAAAGTATTTTGTCTAGTGTCAATTATATCGTCAGTTATATCATTATCGCAAATTTTCAGATCTATATCGTGATAAATATTTTTGGTCATATCGCCCTGCTCTAATCTGAAGGTTGTATGTTAAAATGAGTTTTCTCCTTTGGACTATTGAGTGAATGAGCCTTAAGAAAACAGCCACAATGTAAATCATTGTACATTGTGTACATTGTCTTCTTTTTCTGCCTGCTTGATAGTTAAGTGGTAATTAATGTTTGATGAGGATGTAGAGTTGAATCTGTCTCTGAGGAACCTTTTTTCAAAGCTGGGTGAGCTGTCAGAATGGAGAAATCTGAGGAAACCGTCCAGGAACTTGTTTATACCAGCAAACAGAATTCCTGTCATCTCTCTCATGGCATGGATATTGAATGCATTGCTTACTGTTTTCTTTGAAACATTTGTACCTGCTGACTCCAGGTATTTTTGGTGTGCCATTTTTTTATAGGCTGTTCCCTGTACATATGGAATATGTAACAAAGTAAAGAGATAGTTTCAATGAGATAGACAGAGGTGGCAAAAGTGAAAACTTTCTTTACTTAAGTAGAAGTACAGATACCTAGGTTAAAAAATACCTAGGTATCTGTACTTCTACTTAGTACTGATTCAAAAGAATCACAGTACAATAATTTTCCTCAATATTTAAAATACTTTCAGTGATGAATGTTAAAATATATCAAAAAGAGTAATTCAGTGTTTATTAACAGATTGTCTGAAGTTGGTGGGTTTACATTGATGAACATTAAAATCAAATATTAAAAATCAAAAAGAACAATAAACACAGTATTTGAAGGTTGTGGGTTTTTTGAATGGGTGTTTTGTCAGCATGTGAAAAATAGAGCATCAAAAAGCAGAAGTATGAGTGAGGAGGTTTTTGTTACAGTGTTTCTATGTCAGCACCGTCACATCACTCACACCTGCAAACAACAAGAAGACATGGAGTCAAGAGAAACACAAGCACATATGAATCCAACAAGTAACTACTAATCTGAAGTATAAAGATTCCATACATGTTAGGGCAGTGATGAGAGCACAGAGAGTCAGCAGCATAATGTCACTGTGTGTTGAGACAAGTAGCAATGAAAGGTAGAACTTGATGTGGCAAAGCTGGGGGTAACGTGGCTAAGGGGACGTGGATCTGGAGAAGGGAAATAGGTCCTGGGATGCAGACTGGAATGGGGCAGAAGGAGAGAAGATAACGGGGTTAGGTAAGTAGTCGAGTGGCTCTCAGAAGTTGGTAAGTAGATTATGTAACTATTCTTACTTGCAGGTGGAGGAAAAGAGCAATGAGAGGAGGGTGGCGAGAATCCAGGGTGAACTGAGCAGTGTGGAAAGGCTGACCTCAGATCCGGATGTTTCAGATGGAGTCTGGTGGCAGGAGGGCAGGCATGTGAGGCACAGAGTGATTTACAAAATGGTGGTTTGATATCTTGAGTCCGAGAGAGGAGTGTAAGCTGTTTGAGACAAGGTGAGTCCAGGAACTGTAGACACAAGAAAGTTAAGTTAGCAAGGTAAATGACAAACAGAGCTTGAAACATGAGAACCAGTTACCAACATGGGTTGATGACGCACTGGCGGTGAATGAACGTCAGCGTGAGGCTTAAATATCTCTGGATTGATTGCCTGCAATCAGCTCTGGGTGTGAGGAACTGGATGAGGAGGTGGCCTTGCCCATGTGTGGTTGTTCATGATTTTAATGAAAAAAATTAAAAGAAAAAAAAATAACACAGTATTTGAAGGTGGTGGGGTTTCAGTGTATTTGTTGAAGGTGTCTTTTATCAGGATGTGAAAGAGCATCAAAAAGCAGAAGTATCTGTGTGGAGGTTTTTGTCACAGTGTAAATCACTGTGATACCCCACTGGTAGCAGAGCCGTCCCATGTCTGACAGTAATAGACTGCAGAGTCTCCCTCCTCCACATTCTTGATGATCAAACGATAATCTGATGTTGACTGATGAGTGGATGTGAATTTTGGAGAGGAGAATCCAGAGCCATAGTATGGTGAACTCCAACTATGATACATCCTCAGCACATGCTGAGGACTTCCTCCTGGAATCTGTTTATGCCAGGCAGCAGCATAGCTAGTAACAGTCCCCAGGTTACAGTCCATGGTGGCTGTCTCTCCTTTCCTCACTGATAAAACAGGTTTCTGTGTCAGTACCGTCACACCACTCACACCTGCAAACAACAAGAACAAACGTAGTTAAGACAAATACACTGACATTTAACTCTAACATGAAGTCTATTCTTCAGTATATTTTAGACTCTTTACATGTTAGAGCAGTGATGAGAGCACAGAGAGTCACCAGCATGTTGTCAGTGTGGGCTAAGAACTGAGTGGAGAGATGATGGTGGAAGAGCTATTTAATACCACTAACAGGAGGAGGAGCATTTGATTTTTTTTCTTTCTCTTGTCTGTGCTATTAATATTATTATTATTGGTGTTGGTAATGCCTTGTGCATTTACCCTCGCCTGTGGCAACATCATCATCTTCCATTCTTTTCAATAAATTTGTTTGTTTGTTTTGTATTTTGGAATGGTGACTTTCTCCATAGCCTAAATGTGGCAGGATTTTGGTTTGTTATATTTTACACTTTAACTTGTATTTTGTTTAAAAAATTGCAATTAGATTTACATTTTCTGAAGCAACATGAAGTTTAGAATTTCAACTTCAACTCTGTATTTTATTCTCTGACACGCCTGGCTTTGCACAAATCATCTAATTAAGTAACTAAATGTCTGTAAATGAGAATGGCCTGTTTATAAATGTGATGTATAAAAACAGTTTATCATGATTTTTGAAACCAGTTTCCAGCTTGAAATGCCCACATTGTGATAAACCATTAAGATGCAGCAGTTAAAAGAAACTGTAGGATAAAATTAATATAATTATGTCAATACCAAATAAAAAGCAGAAAACTTTCAATCCCTAATGGTGACACGTTTTCCTGCTCTTTGTTTTCCTAGTGTTGGTTTCTTTGTTCCTGGCCACTCTTTGTTTTGTATTTTGTTTGAGTGCAGCATTTTCAGTCTCCTGTGCCCTGCATTTGGGTCCAATACCTGCCTGCCACACAGCGGTTACATTACAGTATGAGAGCTGGAGGAGATGCTCTTCTTAGATTAGATGAAACTTTATCCCTCAGATGGGTTCCTCCAGGAAATTCAATTCTTGTAAGTTACCTTGTCACGAACAATCAGTTTGATAAAAATTAAAACTTGCTAAATAAAAACTAATAGATACATTTAAAAAGAGAGAACATTTCTGATTGATCATATTTAAATTTGATTATTTTTAATTATATTCCAAAGTGCCTTTAACAAGTGCAAAATTTCAGTTTCAGCACTGTGTAGGCCTAAAACAGGCCTACCTATCTTATTTTAATTTATGCCAACCTTAACACAATTTTAAATATTATGAAAACAATAAGAGCGATCAACAACATATTTCACATCATTTTAGTGAACAACATTTATATAAAAATATACACATTTGATTTGACACCTTTTCGCACAATTTTAATATAACGGATTCATGTCTCCTGTACATACGACAACTTGAAACTATTTTAGATTGTGCAGATTTTCAGGTCATCTGGTCAGATGATTACCTGGGCCATTGTAGTAACTTTATCTTCCTTCTCTGAAATCAGTTGTGAGTTTCCTTGGCTGCATTTAGTATAATTGTCTTGCTGAAATGTCCACGCTCTTCATCTTCAATGTCCTGACAGATGGCAACATATTTTTTTTATCAAGATTGTCTCTGTGCATTTTCCACTCATCCTTCCTTCAGTTATATGACATATGCCAGAGCTGTATGCTGAAAAACAGCACCACACAATGATGTTTCCACCTCCAATCTTCACTGTGTTGGAGGTGATTTGCAGTGGCTTTTGGCTTCCAAGCATGGTGACTATTGTGCCATCCGAAGAATTACATTTTATGAAAATTTGTATCTCATCTGACAAGACTGTATATCTCCCAGTATGGTGATCTCTCAGGCATGTCTAAATGTTGTTCAGCAAACTTTAAATGCACTTCAACATGATTTTTCTTCAGCAATGAAGTTTTGCATACAGGCTATAGTTTGAAAAATTGAGTGCATTACTGATTGTTTTCTTTTCTTTCTGTAGCTCTCTACAGATGGTCCTTGGATTCTTTTCACTCTGTCTGAACTCTTTCAGGGACCACCTGGTTGTCACCGGTTATGGTGAAATGATTGTCTTTCCACTTCCAGATTATGACCCCAACTGTGCCAATGCTGTCAGTATGTTTCGCAACAATAAGGTTGCAAGCATTGTGAGAGAGCTCAGTGGTTTTACCATCATGAGATGTTTCTTGTTTCACAGCTTGGTAAATTAGACACCTTTTTCTAGACCGTCAGTTGGGAATGCACAAAGTGGCCGGATTACGTTCAAATTACTCATAGATATGACTTTCCATGCATTTTTTGCACCTCATTTTCTTCATATGTTCAAAACTTTCCCCCTGTTTCATTTCTCCTAGTTACACATAATTAACAGAGGTTATAAATACAAGTGACCTCCCCGCCACAAAATAAATAAATAAATAATAGCAATAAATTAAATTAAATCAATAAATAAAAATGAATATAAAATAACAACAGCAAAACATATAACCATATCAAAACATGAATCATCAGAAAATCTTTTTCAGTTAAAAGTACTTGTTACAGTCAGCTTGGTACCGAATACCACAGTGACTCAGTTTGTATACATGGCTTTACAAAACGGCACCAATAAGGCATGAGGAATTGCAACATCCTCTTCAGGCCAACTTTCACTGCCAACATCTCATTCCCTTAATTGATATTTCAAAACACTGCTTACGTGTTTCAAACAATTTCTGTCTCTTTAGACATTTTTTTCTCCTCTGTGTCATTAGTTGCTTTCCCGAAGATTTTATGGTTTTGCCTCATTAATACTAGGAATACACAAGCACTGCAGTGTATCTCATTCAGATTTTTGTCAGTCTGAATCACTGTGATACAACTTCACTAGAATAGGTGTAGTACAAAGAGTCGACAGTTCTGTACCGTCAGTAATGAAATAGTATTAGCTGTTCTAGGATTTAAAGCTCTGAATCTGTCTGAGCAAAATCCAGTGGCAAAGATGGTAAGATTACTGAATGGTAAGTTAATAAACTAAGTAACTGCTGCAGGAATTTTTAAAAAAA